GAAAAACGTCGTATCAACATTCGCTCGTTGCCAAGTTTCTTCCGCTAAAATTATTATTTTTGGGAAAGGCGGGGTGGTGTCGATAAGGGCCGTTTTCTGCAGAACGGTCAACCGTGAATTTCCTCAACTCTACTATTTTGTGCCCATTTCAGGTCTATAAATACGTAATGCATCATGATTTTGTCATTTCCTGTCTATGCTAGCTAAGGCCTGATACCGGCCTTAACATGTCTCTGAAGGCCGACGTTGTTGGAGAAAAATACGAATTTTTTTACATTCGACGATCAACCCGCGAAACCAGCATTTTTTCCCAAAATCGGCCTTCCGACCCATGTTCAGGTCAATATCAGATCGAAGAGTAAAACGAAAACGACCAAATCATAACAAATTCCTTAAAATCGACTCTCAATGAGGAAAAAATCATCGCAGAGTTAAGATAATTGAATCACTAAATACAAAAAGGGCACATGTCCAGAAAACCAGATTGTTCAGGTGACACAAAAATTGTTCATTTCGTGGTAGATATTTTTAGACATAACGACTTTCCAAAAGAATATCTACCACGAAATAAACAGTTTTTTGTGTCTCCTGAATAATTTGATTTTCTGGACATGAGCCCTTTTTGTATTTAGTAATTCAATTCAGCTACGGTTGGCCCAAAAATGGCTCTCATTAATACCTCGCATTCATGAATATTTTCACTTAAAATTATCCGATTAGATTTTGAAATTTTGATTTAAAATTTGGGGAAAAAAAATTCAAAAATTTTCCAGAAAATTCGTATCTTATCAAAAGAAATATGTCAACGTTTGAAGCCTCATATGGCGTTTATCTATGAGGGCAGAGTGAGGAGGCTTAATGCTGACTCGACGCACATACACAGAACGTAAACCAATCCAAAAATTGCAAAAATATCCCAAACAATGCAATTTATTTCAATGGTATAACTGTGCAGTTCCTGTCCAAAAGTTATCTAACCTTTGGGTGTGGTCGGATAAAAAATTGATGAAAAATCAGAAAGGAACGACAAAAGTCCCACTTCAAAAATTCAATTTGTGAGTGGAAATTTTGCAACGCTGAAACGTAGTTAAGTTCTTTTGTGTGGTGAGCAGCGATGACTCGATGCGCAAACTGCTTGATGTTTTTAGAGGAGCTCCACCCTCGTTTTCCAGTAGGGACGAATCTTTCCCTTTGGTCCGGTGTCCCATAAAAATTTCGCTGCTGGAGAGGCCTCTCCGGCTGCTATGCCGCCCAACCCTAAAATATCGCTTCGCGCTATTGAGTTCCGGTTCCACAAGAACCGCGTGACACGAATCGGACTGCCTTTTTCAATTAGGTACTACAAATTCCAGCTACAAATTCCAATACTACAGCTCACCATAGAACAACGTACTTGCAATGATTTCCATACGTAGATAAGTGCTTTTTCATATGATTTAGAAATTTTAGTTCATGATCGCAAAATGAAGTCCGATTTGGCCGCGCAACCGGATACAATGATTCTCAAAGCGTGCACGTTCCCAGTGAAAAGGTAAGTATTGTTAAAATTTGCGTTACTTGATTGTTAAACATTTTTGGCGAGAAAAATTGCCGTTGGTCGAGACAATGCGAGTGCATGAACCAGGGTCATGTGGATAACATTTTGCAATCAGGAACCACTATCTCTGGCTCTTCTGTATAAGCGCCTATCTGCTTAGGGAAACTATTAGCATATATATTGTTTCTAAAATGAGCCAGAAATAGCGGTTCCTTATTGCAAAATGTGGTCCATGTAATATCCACTGAAGTTGTGGTAGTATTTCGTGGTTTTTATGGGGGAGGGAATGTAACGCGATTACAAGATTGCAAAGTTGACTCGCATTAATCTTCTTTAAGCTGAAAAATATAATTCCTGACCGAAAAGAAATACGATTCCTGGCCGAATTTTGCTGGTTTTTGGGTGAACTGAGAAAAATCAGTGTCGTTTCCAGTTTGAAAAGTTGAATGTCTCCCGGTAGAAACATTATTTACACGTAGAAATTTTGCATTTTTGGAATACACTCATCCGTAGCCAAGGTGGGAAACCACGTACTTCCGTTTGCGACCTTGCAGATTTCCAGTCATACTTTATTTTTTCCGTGGAAAACTAGTTAAGTAGTCAATTTCTTGAAAACATCCTTGATTTTTCTTCTATTTTAAAAGAATATCTGTAAAAATTTCAAGCAATAAAGCTGGGCTGATCATTCTCAAAAAAATAAAATAGGAGCAAACAATTTGAAACACCGCAAAGGAGGTATGTAGTTTCGTACTTTAGCCATCATAATGCTTTCCGCCGCAGGAGAATCAAACTAAAAGAAAGATACTCGCGTAATTAGAGAGCAAAACCGATAAAAACATTACGAGTGCGCCACAAGCAACGCGCGTAATGAATTATATCCCCTGTCACAAGAGGGAGGGGAGGTGTGTAAGGTAATAAGAAGGTGTCGCCGGAAAATGAAATTGATGAGTCTGAAAGGAAACGGGCGAAAAAAGGGCGAAAAATGTGGAGGAGGTGCACAGGTCGCTGAATGCAGCGAAACCGAGCGCCACAGCCGCCGCGCCGACCCATTAATTAATATTTTAGCTTTCGGTCGCACTTTTACTCCAAACGCGCGCGCAAAGCTCAAATCCACGCCCTCTTGCCGATCGCCTCACTGCGAGAAAACTTAACGTGTGAGATCTCTAAAAGGCCATTCAAATATTACGTAACGAAGTTAGATAGGGGGGGGTGGTTAAGCCCAGCGTTACGTAACGCATTTGAGCCGGGGGATAGGGAGAAACTTAGGGAAATACGTGCAAAATAATTGAAAATAACGCCCTTCCCGAAAAAATACTTTTGGCGCGTATTGTTGATCTCTTCCCCTTGTATTTCAATGAAATATCTAAAAAAAAAAAAAAATAATAATAATAACCCATTTTTTTAAGCTCTTTTCCCAGCGTTTTCTTGAATTTTTTAAAATGGGGTGGGGGGGGTCAGGTTAGCGTTACGACATTCAAAAAAGTGGGGTGTAGGGCTGCGTTACGGGTGCGCTAAAAGGGAGGTCAAAGAACCGGGCAAAGTGCGTTACTTAATACTTGAACGGCCCTTATAGGGTGCCCCTTTCGATTTAACTTGACAAAAACCAATGGCTGACCAATGGTTTTTGACCATTAGGTAATTTTTATTCATTTGCAGGCGAGCGTTTTTTATTTCGCCTTCAATTACGCGTGACACTACACGCCTACCGCAAAGCGCAAATTGCGATATCACCAACATCCAAAATGTTTCCATGCCACAAGCACTCCTTCAATTAAATTGCCTTGCAGCCATGCGCTTTTCATTTCGCCTTCATATGTGTGTGATACCACACGCCTACAGCAGAGCACGAATAGTGGTATGACCAAACTACACGCTGATCCCGTGACACGTGGGTCAGTTTTTAACCATTGATTATTTCGATTGACTTAAAGTCATGCCTTTTCATTTCGCCTTCATTTACGTGTGATACTAAACGCCTACCGCAGAGCACGAATAGTGGTATGACCAAACTACACGCTGATCCCGTGACACGTGTATTTTTATTGACTTAGAGTCGTGCCTTTTCATTCCGCCTTCATTTACGTGTGATACTATACGCATACCGCAGAGCACGAATAGTGGTATCAACAAATTGCAAGATGTTTCCATGATCTACGCACATGTTCAATTATATGGACTTGCAGCCATGCGTTTTTCATTTCGCCTTCATTCAAATATGATACTACGCCTATCGCAGGATGAGTTAGGGATTAGAGGATTTTTTCTCATTTTTCAAAAATACCTCGGACCAAAAATCAAAATTTAGGGAATCCGGGAGTGGATGTAAATGATTCAGCAACGAATTTGAAAAAATGAGCCAATTTCTTGTATGGAATGGCATCGATTCTGCGATTCGAAATTCATTGTGAAAACGTTTGGATGCCCGCTGAAATTCCCTCGTCTCGCATACGCAATCTATTCTTTTTCTGAAAGGGGACCCTTTGCCCTAACCTCACTTCAAATGGACGCATTTATGATAAAAAATACTATGTTGCACGCAAACTCTATGCACATAGTTCCTTTTAGCATAAATACGTCCAAATGTGACGGCAGAGTCTGCGATCAGGGCTA